GGTCACTTTTGCCGGTCCAAGCCCGGATAGAGGAGTAGGGTTGGAATTGTGACATTAAAAAAAACAATAATTACTAAAAGAAATTTAATTTGTAGTTCTAAATAAATTCTAAATGCATTTAGGGCGTTTTTTTACTCACTTTATGTCTCTTCCACAATGTTATTTTTCTCGCCTACAACAGGTTACAATTACATTAGCATAACCGATCATGCAAATTAGGCGATGGCGTCATTTAGCGACTTCTAGCGACTTTTAGGACAGCCAATAGCGATTTTCCTTACTGAGGAGTTGGCAACACTACCCGCAGGCCAAAATCATCCATGTGCAGTTGCATTTCAGTCCATCTGATAAATACCAATGCACAGAATCAGGTGGGTGTATGCTTGAACTACTCAAGTGGACTTTGAGTTAAATTGAAAATTAAAGTGTGGAACAAGTATAAACTACAGCTCCTTGATGCTAGCTCAAAAAGTGAACCGATCTCCATAAACTCCTATGTCAAAATACGCAACTTTACAGCAAACAGAATCATGATCTACAGCATGTTGCAAAGAGCAGTTTTGGTCACTCTAGTTATTTTACCCCTTCATAGTAACTGTGCTTGATATTACTCACTGATTTAAACACTTTTAAATCTTAAAATTAAGTGTTAGTAAGGGTTGGCAGCTGCCCCTAGATGACTGCTAGTTAGCTTCTTGCTAGTAGCCTTTTGAGTATTTTTCTGTCATTATTTGACAACTAATATTGCTTAGAGTGCTGGTAATTTTACTAAAATACTGTGCAAGAAGTAAATTACAGGATTTTATGTACTATTAGCATATATTTGTACCGGTCTCATGCATTTATACAATTTATGGATACACCATGCTAACCAAGCATGGTGATAACTGACAGCTTTATGCTATTTGTTTCTGGAGCAGTTTATCTGTTTTAACTGCTTTATTGGGAGGAAAATAAATAAATAAATATTATCTCAACAAAAAACTGGAAATGTATATTCCTGGCAAAGCTGGTTTCTGCATTGCAATAAACTATAAACATGTTCCTAAAAGAACCACTTTTTAAAATATAAATAATGACCATTTGTGCACATGTGCACTCACGAAGTCGCGTATGCATATATTGTTTCCAGAGAAATCGTGCTCTCTTAGATCTACAGCTTCATTACGCCACGCTGCCTCATGGTGTGGCATCGATAACTGTACTCATGTCTACAGCGACAAAGTCACTGTAACACAAGTGTGTTTAATTAGCAGTTAGGTCTTGCATGCTGAGTGCCGGCTGCCACCTTAATACTTGACATTAACTTAGACAATTGAGGGGGTTTCTGCGTCCTTCAGCAGAAAGCAGCTATTATAGGAGTCTTTACTCTTGTATACTTGAACTAAAATAGCTGGAGGCTTGTTTCAGGCTTTTTGCAGCCAATGCAGAGAGAAGGGTAAGGATTAAACAACAGAGTGGGTAGCGTAACCCTCCAGAGTAATGTCATCTAATGAATATATATGGATGGTGTAAATCAGTGGTCCTGACCTTAGCTGAGTCAGTGATGTTGTCCCAGTAAGGACTGGGAAAGTCCAGTTGCCCTCGAAGGATTTGGTCAAATAAGTCCTCTTGCTGGTTATTCTCACTATATTGAAGGAGAAACACACACTCAGAAAAACAACTCAGAATTTATAATGCATTACTCAGCAAACGTGACATACATCTAAACTGTGAAAAAACTGAACCATCTGTATTGTACTTTGCATAATAAAATCCTTTCATTTTGAGTTTCAATTTGTGGCTACTGCCATAAACATGAAGTGCTAGAGATGACATATGGGTCACATTAACGTAAATCAAATGACACAATCCTTAGCACAGTGACTAATATCAGCGACAGCGTACAGATGTAGCAAACTGACAGTGATGAAAGTCAAACTGACAACGTGGCTGAATTTCTGCTGACAATTTAGAAAAGATTGAATTTTTTGCTCAAAGTCATAGACTGTATATTAATGACTGGCATAGCCTTCAGGACTGCAAAGTTAAGCCGCACTCGTTTTAATGGTCAGCAGGGGGTGGAAAAATAAGAAGATAGAAAAATCTGACTTCTGGCCTGGTTATGACCTATTTAATTTATAGACTCAATCTATATCTCCACTTTCTATTTTAATACTGCACTATCTCACTTTAATAAGCTGGGGTGTCATATAAAAAATAAATACAAAGTAAAGCATATTTTAGGGCATGACTAGCTTGTCATTGATATATCGACACCAAATGAACTTGAACAGCATCCTCGCTCATTAAATCGAGGCAAAAAAAGTATGGTAGCAATATATGGCATCACCTGTTATCCACCTGTGATATAGTATCTACGTTTAAAACTGAAAACCACTTCCCTCTGCATGTTTGTTTACTGAACTATGTGAACAAAGTACCTTCTAAAAGGAGGGAATCCACACAGGAGGATGTAGGTGATGACACCTGCGGCCCAGATATCCACCTTCAGGCCATAACTGTGAAATGAGGGTAAGAACAGAGCCAGAAAAAGACTAAATCGTTTAAGCAAACTCTTTCTGGACATAAAAATACAGAAAAAACATTTTGACATTTGACAAATGAAAGTTTCTAATCTGCTGTAACGATACAACAGTACATATTACATAAACGTGCCTGCTGCCACGTACTGTATGCGTAGTTTGTCTTGCTGTATTGTACACTGGTTTAGCACAATACAAAAGCATATTGCGTCAAAGCGTCCAGCTTACCCTGACTCAACGATGATTTCTGGAGCCACATATGTAGGAGTGCCACATACAGTATACAAGGGGCCCTCGACTACTGTAGCTAGGCCAAAGTCTCCAAGTTTCAGTGATTTGGTGCCATCTGGGTACTCAAAAACCTAGAATGAAATACTCATTTAAAGCCCACAGAGGATCTGGATTTGTTGTAAGACCCACCCCAGCATGTTTGTAAATACAGCATGTTTGTAAATTCATACCAGTAGATTCTCTGGTTTAATGTCTCTGTGGACGATGTTCAAGCTGTGTAGGTACTTCAGCGCTCTGGCGAGGTTGTACACCATGACACTGGCGTCTCTCTCTGTGTATTTGGCCGAGGAGGTGATGGCGTCAAATAAATCGCCTCCCTGCGAAAATATGACAACTGTGTTTTACACAGCAAAACGAGAAATGACCCCTCTCCCCTCAGCCACCCACTCCTCCCTCAGCCTCTACTGCACCTTCACCAGCTCCATAACCAGGTATAGTTCAGAGGGAGTGTCCACCTCCTCGATCAACATGATGATGTTGGGATGTTTCACCTTCCGGAGCACAGCGACTTCATTTTCTATGAGGTGCTCCTAGAAAACACACACACACTCACTCAGAGTTGGCTAGCGCCCCGGTGTCTACGCTCAGTTGTTGCGCTAATAAAAGATCTGAGTTGTGCGTTAAACGTGAGCGAATCCTGGTGTGTCATCGTGTAAGTGTGTGAAAGTATGAGGGTGATGCGAATGAGGGTGTGAATAAACAATATCACTTAATCGAGCTTTGAGCATCAGAGGCACACAGGTGTGACCGTGCTGTGCACCAACATATGATCCCTGCTTACGTCTGACCGAAAGTGACACATGCAAAGGGAGGAATAAAAGGAGGAGGCAGAGAGGAACAGAAGTGAAACCTTTCCGCTGCACTTTGTCTTGTCGATAATCTTCAGGGCAAACTCTTTCCCCGTGGACCTGAACAGAAACAGTGCAATTAGGGGATAACACTGAACGCAGCAGTGAAGGTACAGCAGTGTCTGTAATTTAAATGGAGTGCTCGCCGGAGACGCTCGGTTATGGTTTTGCAGGAGCGCTGCGTCACATCGTGGGGAGGAATTCTAGATGTAGCAAATAAACTTTGTTATGCAGAGTGTGAGCTGTGAAACCGTGCAGGCACACGCCGGCTTAACGACATCGGCCGAATAATTGTGCTTCCCTGGCTTTTGCTAATGAGATCACACCCAACATGAGTGTAGCCAATTGATTCCAAAAAGGTAGCTGTGCAAATGTTTATTCAATGACATATACACTGTATTTTGGTAAGAAACTGAGAATCTAAACTGTTTGTTTACAGTGTGTTCCCATAAGTACTTTCTAGGAAGGTGCAAGACATCATCTTGCACACGCACACACACACACACACACACACACTCAACAGGCCCCTCTTTGTCACCTCCACCTCCCTGTCTGTGTGTTGACTGAGATTAAAAAGGCTAATGAAGTGAAATCACTCCTGGGTTTAATCCATGAGATATTTCTGTCTGCACAATGCCTGTCATCAGGACTCAAATGGCTTGACTGGGCAGTGACCATAATGTGACACATACTTCAATAAGCTGCACACGGGGAGGAGGGACACTGCTGTGCGTTCACTGCAGATTTCTGCCAACATTTCCAGTCTGATCGAACGGGTTTCACTTACCTCTCCACACAATCTTTGACCACAGCAAAGTTGCCATCTCCGATGACTTTGCCAATCTTGTATTTTTCACAGATGCTTGAGGCATGCGAGTGCTGGTTCCCATTAACTGCCGAGGAGAGACAAAGGTTATAAACAAGCAAGTCTTAAAGGTACACAAAACTACGCTGAAATCTAGCAGTGTAGCCAGGCTTTCTTTGCCTCAGCTGGCTTGAAAAAAAGTAAAATCCAAGTCAAAGGTAACAGATATCATGCTGGTGGTTATCAGTTTTCTTTATTTAACACAGACTTTCTGTTTAAGGCTTTGTCTACTCACAGAAACAGAGTTTTGGTGTCATCTAGGAAAATTAAAGGAAGATTGCTTTAGTGTGTTGTGTTAGTGTGTTAAATTTTAATCATTCTAAATTACTGGCTTCAAATAGTCTATAAGTGTAACTGATTAATTTTCTAATCTAAACTCTAGTAGTTGCAACTCCAGCAGGTGTCACACTGGGTTAAGCAGCAGAGTCTCTGTAAAATTACTCTGATCATACCTTCTGGACTCAGCTGATTGGTTTGCTCCTGATGATTGTTCAACGAGCCATTTATATTTGGGGAAGAGTGGTGATGTGACGGAGGGATCTGTGCAACAACAAACAACAGCAGAGATGAGAGCTCGGCCTCATCAATACTCAAACTGGCAGCAAAATAACAAACAGTGTCGACAAACATAATGATCGTCGTTAAAACGCTGCTGATGTATTACTGGCTTGTTAGTGACTTTGATTACAATAAAAGGAGACATATTCATTTTCATATTCTTCCAGATGTAGACGATTTCAGATGTCTGAGTTTGACCACTTAAATGAATCATTCATTTGTTAAGAGTCATTTCAGCAGCTTATGTCTACATTTCTGAAATGTCAGCAATAAATGCATGCCACCAGCACTAAAGATCAGAAAAAGTTCACTCCCCATCATGCACAGCAGTGCTTACATACCGCACTGAGCCATAATGTGCATTACCTTACAGTGAGGATCTATTTTTAGGTAGCCCTCTGAAGCAAAGTTGAAGGTGGGACAGTGTCAAGGTCCCTTTTATAGGTAGATACATAAAATAGCTTTTTACTTTGATAAATGACTTTAAGTGACTTAGTGGTGCCAAACTAATGTGGATGGATAACTCTGGGCTCACAGAGGAACTGCGCAAAGGTGGAGGAGGTTAGCCAGCTGGCTGGATCATTCAGAAATGACAGTCTGGGACTAACACAGATTTACAGGAGAATCCATCAATAAAGCAGATTATTATCTTAAAATCTAGTGAAAACACATCAGGGAGCTAGGACGTAGCCTGCGAGTCTTACAACATGACTGACAGTCAGTGGCTTGATAAATTCATTTGATGCTGATTTATTCAGGGTATGTAGGTTGTGCATCCTTGCCTTATCCCTAGCTTTGCAATAACACCACTAGCAGCACTAATTTGGATTTAAAGTCTCAGAAGCAGAGCTACACTGAAATCAGTGTATTCAAGCTAATCCACTGGTTAATGGGTACCAGTGAGCCAGAAAAATGCAGGAAAGACGGCTATATGTTAGCAAATGGAGCTGGAATATAGAGATTTAAAACATTTTTAGGTAAAATGTAAATAAAAGCAGAATGCAATCATTTTAAAATCCCATAAACTGATATTGCATTCTCAATAGAATGAAGAAAGCAAAAAAACTAAGACTTTTTGCTATTTCATGGCATAAACATGTCTGGAAAAAAGTTCAATCAGAGGCGACAAAAGGCTGGAAGCAACATTTTGTAACTAATTAGGTTAACTGGCACAGGTACTGTAAGTCACATGACTGGTAATGAAAAAAGCATCTGAGAAACTGTTCACCGTGCCATCTACAAACACAAGTTAAAGCTCTATCATGCAAAGGAAACACCATATCTGAATATGATTCAGAAACACTGCTGTTTTCTCTGGGCTAAAGTTTATGTAAAATGGACTGGGGCGACCTGGAAAACTGTTCTGGGGTCAGGTGAATCAAAATCTGAAGTTCATTTTGGAAAACATGAACACTTTGTCCTCTGGACTAAAGAAGACAGGGGCCAAACAGTTTTTTTTTTTTTTAATCAGTGCTCAATTCAAAAGTCTTCATTTGTTGCTTGAGGGCCTATGGAATTAACAGCTTGTTAAGTTGCTATGTTTCCATCCAATGTCTTTTCCAGGGAAGGGCTTAAAAATTTCAGCAAGAAAATGTCATCTATTACAACAACATGGCTTCATAATAGAAGAGCCCAGGTTTGAACTGGCCTGTGCAGTCCAGACCTTTCGTGAATTCAAAATTAGTGCATCGTGAAATGAAAAAAATAAATAAAACAAAGACGACCGAGGACTGTCGAGCAGCTAGAATCCTGTAAGGAAACATTCCTCTCCTAACAGTCCAGCA